GTGCAGACAATTAGAGGGACGATGGCGAACGTAACGAGCGAGATGCAGGTGCAGACAATTAGAGGGACGATGGCGAACGTAACGAGCGAGATGCAGGTGCAGACAATTAGAGGGACGATGGCGAACGTAACGAGCGAGATGCAGGTGCAGACAATTAGAGGGACGATGGCGAACGTAACGAACGAGATGCAGCTTCCACCAAATTCGGTGAGATCCTTATTTATCTACCCGTTGCCATGAAGAAGATCCCTGTTGTAGGATATGAAAATTTCATGTCATGGTTATTGTGACCAAAATCATCACTGTTACTGTTATTATATTAAATCATTACTGTTAAATTGTATTTATTGTCCAATTGTTTATTTGAATTCTTATTCTGGATTAGTTGGAGACATACACTAGGCTATATCAGCCCCACCAACAATATGGCCTAGAGCACATTGAATGACCTACAGAGAAAGCCAGAGCGGTTATATTTAAGAGGACGATCTGCTGTTTGTTACTAAATTAAATAAGGTAAAAACTTGGACCTTTCTAGACTTTATAAATGAATAAACTAAAATAACCCCATGGAAAAGCCAGCAGTGATGGATCAATGACTAGACAGCTAGAGTGAACCGATCTATGTGACACAACCAAATACAGCTAGTGTTAGACTGGAGAAATATTACGTTTAATAAATTAATACTGAAAGTCAGACGGCAAATAAACTAAATCAGGTCATTAATATAGAACCTGCTGGCAAAACTGATCTACCATCAGCCGCTTTCACAAACGGAGCCCAAAGACGGGATCATCGTTTGCCTTTAGGCCCATTTTCTGTGAAAAACACTGAATTAGTTTCATTATCCTGATTATTTTCAGGAAAAAGATCAAATAAAATAATCCCCATAAGGAGTGTTTGGGAAAGAATCCAGTGACCTTTAACCCCTCACACCATGTTAGACGCCACCACATTCCTACAGGTTTGACACTCACCACAGTACCCATGTTCATCTGAGGAAAAAACAAAAGGATTTCAACTTGCAACTAACACAGTTAACCATTTGATTTTTACCGACTGGACGCATATAGATAAAAGCCTGAGGCCCCACAGGGCCACTTACTCTGGGGTCCATTTTCAGAGGAGTGGTGTGTTTGATGAAAGACTTGACCACAGCAGTTCGGCCCAGGGAGTTAGGAGTCATCATCAGCATTTGATTCTTATGCACAGTATGAAGAAAAGATCGCATGTTGGGTCTGACCGCCTGTTTTAGAGACAACAAAAGGTTCCATTCATTCACTAATAAGCTGCATTTATTAAATAATAAAAAGATTTGTGCGTTTTATCGGTGTCATACACTTTGGCTTTTCTTTGGGGGGGAGAACTGCTTGGAAGGGCTGCTCTCCACGATCTCCGGACCTTTTCGTTTTTTACTGAGACTCGATCTAAAGACATGAGAGACTTTCCTTCAGCAAAGATCAAAACAGCTTTCAGCACTAATATGTTCAGAGTTAAAGGCCAGAACACACCCATTACGATTTTACGTCCGATCTGAAAGAAAATCGTGTCTTAAGGCCTGGTTATCCTCCCGCAGCAGCGTGTCGCAGATATTTTTGATTTCTGCCCAATATTGAAGCGTGCTCTGCGCTATGTTATTCCACGCCACAACGCCAGAGGGCCAATCAGGAACTAGCTGTGGGTCTAGATACGGCCGAGGAGGTGAGGAAGTAGGGGCAGGTTTGTACAACGGAGGGACTTGAGGGCCAAAAAGACCGGGGATCCAGGTGGGAAAAGGCTCCCAGCGTTCTCACACACCTCGCTCTTCTACCTGCTCCATCTTCACCAGTCGTTTTCCACAATGGCGGTCAGACAAACAAAACAAGCCGCTAAGGAACCAAACAGGAAATACGCATAGAGTAGAGCGGATGTAGATTTGAGCAATCAGAGGCCTCCTGTCTGCGGTCACCTCAAATCTTGGAGAGGTGCACCAGAGTGTCTGCGGAAGAGGGCGGGGCATATCTGCTTTAGCTGTGACACACGCAGACGGCCTGGTTGCTGAGTATAAACCAGGCTTTAGACGACAGGAAACGGATAAAGTAGTGATTCTCTTTGAGCCTCACAGAAACCAGAATAAGGAGGAGCAGACAGAGCAGGTCAGCGCAGCGGATCTCTCTCACCTCTTTATGGAAAAAGGAAAGAAAAACTGTGATAAACTTCCCAGATCTCTCTGAGAATCACCTCTCTGCCTCAGTTGCCATAGAAACCGTCACACAGAGTTTATTGCTGCGTTTTTCTTTTCTTTAGACGTAGATCTCATTATGTTTTTAATAGATGAACATTTTCTATCTGTTCTGGTTCTAGATGCTGCACACACTTGTTAAGTAGAGCTTTGCTTTATAGAATGCACCGACTTTTCATAATCTGTCTGGTAAATGTTCTGCAGAGATCTGTTCAGCCTGACTAGTCGGAGCCTCTCTATAAAAAAAAAATCAGATCTTAGATTAAAAAGTCGTACGGAACCGGTGTGTTCAGGCCTTTAAGGCCTAAATAAAGGCACATATCAAACTCCAGAATCTCGTTACTCACCTTTGAGCTGCTTTGGTCAGTCTCTTAGCAGCCACTGGGGGGGGGTGCAGACATCAATATAAAACCATAATCAGAAAATGTTTCAGAATATAAACGGTCGCATACCAGGCATGACAGGAGTGCTTATTTTAGCCTCGGAGGAGAACAGCGGAGGGGGGGCCAGTTTGGGAGAATTAGCCGCCACAGAGCGAGTCACGCGCTCCACAGCAGGTGCAGAGACAGGGCTGTCGGTTTCAGGCTTTTTTTTAATGAGAAGATTGAAAAAAATTAAATCAAAGGTAAAAATCCAGCAGCGTAGGTTAAACATGATGAGCAGAGGAGAGTTCTGCTACCTCTGGAGACTCCTTTTCCTTTCCAGGATCATCAACTCCAGTGTCTGCAGCTAATGCTTCGATTTGGCTGTGAATGTTGAGAGAAAATAGATTAGAACAACTTACAGGTTAAATACAATGTTAGATCAGACAATTTAGGGATGCAGGATATTGGGATTTTGGCCGATATCCGATATGCCGATATTTTAAAACTCATGTAGCCGATAACCGATATCGATACCGATGTT